GTGGGGTGCCTGGTGGGAGGGAGGGGCTGGCGGTGCTCGGGGCTGGCCCCGCTCTGTTCCGTCAGCCCGCTGCGGCTTCTCCCGAGCGCGGGGACGGCGTGAGGACAGCCTCGGTGCTGCGGGGCGCGGGCCAGAGAGCGGCTTTGGCGGCAGCCCCCGGGCGGGAGAACGCCGGAGGGGACAGCACATGCGGAGGCCGGGGCCGCCCTGTGGCCAAGCTGGCGAGCTGCTCCTGTTTGAGCTCAGGGGAGGGCTGGCAGGGCACAGCCAACACGCTCAGAGACAACTTATTAAAAGTTATCCCTCTCTTGGGGAGGCAGAACGTTTTAATGGGCCTGGAGTGAAAAAAACACCAGGATGGTGCGTGGGTTTTCCTGTCAGTGCAGAACTGGCCCCAGGTTTGAAAGCCTCTTGGCAGTACTTGGGATACAAAGGAACAAAGGCAAAACGGGCTTGGGAAGGAGACAGAAGTGGTACACATTAAGAACAAACGGTACAAGAGGGTAAACCAGTGTTATAATTAAGCTTAGTAGGTGATGCCACCTGATGGTGAAAAGTTGGTTTAAAAACAACCAAAAGGAGCATTTAGTTTACTGCGTTACATGCGCCGCAGTACGGAGGGACAGGCAGCACTCCATGCAGAAGTCAAGCGTCAGGCCTGTGCTGTTAATGGTGAGTTGGTCCCTCTTGTGTGTAGCAGAAGGCACCGTGCCAAGACCACTGTCACAGAAGCACGTGGGTGATGCCAGAAGAACCTGCCCGCTCTGTTCTTGGGCCGTGTTCTCTCCAAGCTCCAGGGGCAAGTGCAGGACAGTGCTGATTTTATTACTCAGTACCTATCTCCACATGAATGGTGTTTTCTAGAGAGCAAAGATGCAGCAGGAGCTCTGCAGTGCGTACAGGATGGACCTTTCCAGCCCCAAGCTGAGCTGCAGAGAAGGTGTGCCAGGTGGAAAGACGTTCCACTGCACAACCGGCCCAAGAGCAGCCTCGCAGTGCTGCCAGAGCTTCCCGCAGCCCTCGCTGCCAAGCAGCGCTGCTGCTGATGGAGGGCAGGCTGTTAGGGACCCTGTGGACCATTGGGGCACAACAGAAAAGCTCCATGGGTGGCTTTGATGGACACATGTCAGGATATTGACACAGGTGCAGATCATGTTTTGCAGGATTTTTCACTCCTAAACATCAGCCAAAACATCTGCTATGAAGAAAAGAGCTTTGAGGGTAGCAAAGCATAAGCAAGGCGTGCTGCTGAGCTCTGCTGGAACACAGCTCTGACCTGTCTGACCTTGTCTGGCTCGTCTGTCAACAGTAGAATGAAACATCCCAACTTAGCTGCCTAAAGCAGAGTGGTTGTTGTTTGGCCAGTTTTGCTTTTATAATATAAGAGAGAAAGTAAAAAATGCACTTAAGCAATTTTAAGTGGTGCAGATATTTTATGCAAAGTGCCTAGGGAATGGATCATTAAAATGTTAATGAGCATTTGACTCCCCTGGGTATTTTGGAAAGTCGTATCCAGAATACCATTATAGCAATATTGTTAACTGTTCTTTACAACAGTAATATATTAATACATGTATTAAACAAGTCATTTTTAAACAACATGTTCTAGGAAGTCAGTAGAAGATGAAGACTTTCTGATTCTTCCATTTTGCAGTGATTTTGAAAAACAGTATTTTTCATTTTCTTCATTTGACCTAACATTACTCTCCAGTATTACTTAAGAGGAAGGAAGTTACCTAAAATCTTGCCTTTGCATGTTTAATGGCAGAGATACTCAAATGTCACTTGTGACTGCATTGATGACTGAGTTCTATGTAACTTGCACACATGCATTTCTGCATCTGTCAGTATCATAAATGACTGGAAGAGGCATCACAAAACACACCAAGCTTGGGCTGTGCCTTAACATCAAACACTGAAAACAGTTCAGGATCTCAAGCTTAAAAGCATTTTCTCCCATTAATATGCATTTAAAAACATACACTAGGCCTGCACAAATGTTGTTGAACAAGTAATTAGATACTGCCTTCCCCTTCCTACACAGAAGAGCACTCATAAATTAAGTGTAGGTGAGCACTTCTTATGATACTGTCTCCATTGCCATCCAAGTGAACACACATTGTTCCTGAAATAATAATTGAATTTAAAAAATGAATAAAAACGCCCCAAATTGGAGAATGTTTGACTATCATACTCACAGTTTACTTTTCTGCCCCCTTAACTGATCTTACCCATGCTGAATCATGCCATGCAGTGCAAGTTACTGCTTTCTTCTGCTGAGTTTGTGTATTGCTTTATGAGAAAATTTATCACCATTTCCCTCTTCAAAAACACCCACAGGCATTTAATTTCTCATCTCTTTCTTACGGTGGATTAATTTTTGCTGCTTCTCCATAGATGAGGTTTTTCATATTACATAATCCTGTCCCTGTTCCCAGTGCCCGACAGTTCTTCTTCTAACCACTCTTGATCAACTGTCTGTGATAACTGGGAATTGCTGCTTTCAGATCAACATTATGGTGGTGAACATGAAATAAGCCCTACAAAGAGTCCATGTCCCTAAGTGAAATGTTGTTTAAAAAAAAAAAAAAAAGAGGGTCCTGGTTTTAACCACCAGGGTTTCCTTACTGAAAATACAGATTCTGGAGATAATGAGCACTGATCTCACAGGATCAGTTTTGCAGCATGCAAATTTTCATCCCTGAGAAAAGCATCTCAGGGATTTCCTATCCCTCTAATAAGAATTACTTGTCTACCAGGATTAAAATACTGGTATTGGGCAAATAAAAAAATAAAAAGTACACTTAGCTTTGCTTTCCACAACTTACTTTTATTATTCTTCATAAGGAGAGAGTAAAGAGTATAAAAAGATAAATAACCTAAAGTTTGTACACACTCCCACTGTCTGTTCAGTTCTAGCTGACAGGACATTACACCCTTAGTCTGGTTCCACTCTCCCTTGGGGGAGGATCTAGCTATGGTTACAGACAGCATTACCATCCCCATTGCCTCGCCTCCCCTCCCCTCCTGGAGCAACCACTACAGACCAGGGCAGCTAAGCTGGCTGCCATTCCCAGCCAGCTGGTTTTTTACTGGACTCCTGAACTGCAGCCATGGTGCTGGCTTAGAAGAAGCTGTAAGCTGTGGCAGTGAAGCTTGCCTGGCTAGAAGTGCAATAGTTCCAGCTTGCCCTGCTGGAACTGGTGGGAGAGGTAAGGCTGAAGAGGTGGGTATCCTGGTGATACAGGATGGAGGTTATAGACATAGGATTAAGAGGGAAATACTGAAAAAGGGAAACAGAAGGTGATTAATGGAGGGAGGTCATTCTTTGAATAGATACTCAATCTATCCAAGTATATCTGGAAGTCCAAACGATTCTTGAACAAATGTACTTGTTCTTTAGCTGCCAACTGTAAGGAGAATAACTTCCACGTGTGTTCCATTTGTGCAAAATCACACACGAGTGGACCTGCCCTTCACAAGCAAAGTAAAGGTTTTGTATGGCAAGTAAGTATCACAGAATAAAATTTTCAGCAGAAATTTAGCTGCTGGAAAAAAAGTTTTAATGGTGTCTTTTTTACCCTTCACTGCATTTCCAGATCAACCACACAAAATAAAGTAAGGCTTTTCTCTGATGCCATCCTCTGTAATGTCCATGCATTGTGAAATAAATCTTACGTTTTATCAGAAATAACCTGGGAGTCACAGAACACTCCATCACCTTGTAATACCTTCTGCCTTATTTTAAGTACTGCTACTCCAGTAAGACTGAAGGGACATAGCAATATACCAACAGATAAGGGACAAAGCCCTCACTGCTGCTCCTCTTGAAAAAAATCACTAACTTTTTAAATAGGAAAAAAAAAAATAAATTAGTTTCTTTCAAATCATCTATCAGCCTGCGAAAAAAGAAAACAAAACCCCAACCCCATAACCAAACCTGAAAGTGCAAAGGTGATACAGAAACAAAAGACAGAAACTGAAAATATAATTCATGGGTAAAAACACTGGCCACTGTTCTCCTGCCTCACAACCTAATCAATACAGGGATAGAAAACACGTTATGTGCCATTGGAATTCATAACCCAATATTGACTTTTGAGCATATACATCAAGTAGATCTCTTACATGCAAAACACCTGTGTGAAAACCACTACTCAGGCAGTCTCACAGGCTTTAGCTTCTTAGCAACAGATGTTGGATATAGTAATCTCCTTTTAGTTATTACTTTCTCACACTGGAAAACTCCGTGCATGAAATGAGTAACCATCCCTTCAGAGAGGAAAGGTGCAAGGGAAACTACACACAGAGGGAAGCAGTCCTGAGAAGATGGAGAGGGAGGAATGTATTAAAGTGATTGGCAGCAGCTATTTGCAGGACGTTTGGAGAAATATGGAGCTCCATGTAGGTACTGAATCTGGGCAGCCTCCTGGTAGAAGAGGAGGAGGGAAGTGAAGCTGAGATACTCTTTTCTCCTCTTGCAGGTTCTGAAGAGTACAACAATCCCTTCTTTCTGCTAACTCCTAGACCCTTCAAGATGTATTCCCCCTGCAGCTTCACAGATCACGTTACAGCAATATTAAGAGGAATTAACAGAAAGGGTGCACAAAGGGAAGAGATGGCAGATGATGTGGCAGGGTTATTTCAAGGGTTATTTCAGAAGCCAGCTGAAGACCAAAGCTATACAAAAGACAGACAGGTAAAAGGGAGACTCCTTGAGCAGTGGGTAAAACTGTAGTCTTACATTTTAAGGGAATGAAGGGTTTGGGGAAGAATGCCTGGGCTTTCAAGGAAGTCAGCTCTTTGGAGCAGCACTTCCAGGAAAGCTCTGGAGTTAATGTGCTAGACAGAAGCATCTGCTAGGTAGATCTTAGTGCTGCTGAAGGAACACCGAGGCCAGGACAGTGGAAAGGCTGATCAAGGCATTACAGCCATGGACTGCAGCTCCAGCAATGTGTTCCCAAACCCACTACAGAAAGGGTGTTCTGCTGGCCTGCAGACTGACTCCTATTCCTCCTGGCCTTGAATGAAGGGCTTAACATGTCAATGCTTCAAAAGGTCCCAGGTCTAAGACTCTATCCAGACAGTTGAAATAATATGTACATGAGAGGTCAGTACTGACTGCCACTGTCCGACATCGACAATACACAGGGAGTACAAGTCCGTGTTTCAGTATGAGAACCTACAGGAAGTGTTTCTGTGGAAGTTAGAGAAAAGGACACTGAAAACTCCAGTGGGTTCTGGAGGTAACTATGAGACATTCAAATTTAGTTTCAGTTACTAAAGTATGAAAGCATTTTGTTCCACCTTCAAAGCAAATCTTACATACCACAGCAGAGGCATTCCAAGATCTCCGTAGTACCAAATGATACAGCTGTTTTAGACAGGCTTGAAAGCCCTGAGAAATGTTGGTAGTTTATTACACCTTTATGTGGTGGGGATCAATCAGTTTGGAACAGCAATAGAAACAATTCTATCCCAGCTGTTCCTCTCAGTTCCTGTCATTACCCAGTGCTTGTTCCAGTTTCAGAAATCAGATTATTTGCGGGCTTTTAGTGTCAGCACTGCACACAGGAACAGCTACCATGTTCTTGCCTCTCACAGTTCCTACTGACTTGTTTAATTTTATCTTAAACAACCTCCACCATGATCAAATCCATCACCACTTGAGTTTACCAGGTAGCGCAGGGTTAACGAACAAATAAATAATACGTACCTGATAGGAAAAGCCTATTAATCCCTTATCAAGCAAAGTGACATATCTGTCCATGTTTTCTCTGCTGCACCCTGGACAAACTGGTTGTATGGAAACAATTACCAAAATATTTCAAAACCACTCCAATTCAACATATTAAACATTCCTTTGTGTCTCTTCTGTTTATATGCTTCTGATCCTGAAGTCTTTTTGCCTGTCTTTTTCTCGTCTTCCATTTTTCAAAAATAAAGTCCTACTTAACTTAATAAAACTATAAAATTTTTTTTGTCTTCAGTGAAGTTCATTCATTCTGGAATAAATACATGTTCAACACGACTCATGTTCTTCCGATTACGTGAAACAATACACAAGTAAACAAGGAAGAGAAGACACAACAATGCCGTTGCTGTGAGGAAGATGAGGAGCCCAGTGAACAAAGCAGGTTTCAGAGGTACTTGGATCAGCTTGCCTTCTGCTGGAATCATGTTCGTGAGGCTTAACATGTAACCAAGTGACCATGCTATACTGCTGTTACCCACCTGAAATAAAGACAGAAGAGTCCTATTCCCATGGACTTCCCAGGCAAAGTAAAGAGGTTCCAGAAGTTCAACTGCTGATACTGGCAACTGCTTTTTAAGTTAGCAAAGAGAAAACTTTAGCAGAGCATGCAAAGAAGATACAGAATCATTTTAAATTACCCTTTTTTTGTAGTTTCAGAGGATGCTACTAAAATTGGTCAGTAAATGGGCTAAGGAAGTGAGGTACAGGCATTAGATGGATGACTATAAGGATGTGTAGTACATATACAGACAGCCAGTTAGGGGATTTTCTGTGCAAGAAACACACTTTTTAAAAAAAAAAGTAAAAAATCAGCACTACTGTGCTAATTCCTAGAATTAGTCCTCACCTTAGCCAAATCCTAAAATGTTAGTTAGTTCAAGCAAACAAAAAACCCCCACAAAGAGTCCCACTGACACAGGCAAAGAGGCGGCCAGGGTAAAGTCCCCAAAGCAGCAAATCCATTAATCATCTTTTGTTTCATGATGCGTTTTGTGCCTGCAAAAGAACCAGCACTAGGCTATTCCATTTAAAAAATAAACATAAGTGGAAAACTACTTAGAAACAGGTGAAACAAAAGCAAAGGGGTTATGTTTGTATTCGCTCCATGGTCCTCCCACTTTGCTGTCTTTCCCCACTTCTAATTTGAGCAAGAGTTTCATTTTCCACTGTCTTTTTCATTAAATCATCATCCTGCCACTTGACAAGCACAGGATCAAAGGGTGCAGACAGAGCATGTTTGCCTATTTATATAAAACATGTAAGTACATATCACTGCCTCCTACAAATCAAACTACAATTTAAAAAAAATAAATCTGTTGAGAGTGAAAAAATAAGGCATTTGGAAAGGTATCAGTAGAACTCATTAAACAAGGGCTAGCCTAGATGGCCAGCTACACATGTGTTTGGTTTACACTATAGCATAGTTTGCTTTCTTTTTCAAAGGGCCTGCACCACCTTCATCACTCCAGGTAGTTCTAGGGTATACTACAGGACAGACAAAGCTGGAATTGTGCTCTTCTGCAACCAGTCAGCTCTCCCAAACTCATTTGGCTTTCCAACTTTATTACAGGCCATCTCACTCTGCAGCTACAGAGTTTGTCTGAATGGCTGCCCATAAGTAGTTTGCTTAAATTTGGGAAACCAAACCTCTTTGGTTATTCTTGTATAAAAAGCATCATGATGAAGTTGAGGGATGAACTTTAATAAATGAATTAATGTCTTCAATGAACAGTCAGCTACGGGTTGTAGGAGGCCACAAGAGCCTATAATATTTGGTCCTCTTTGTACTTATGTATATCTTAATACCTTTTGGTTAACTGATAAAAAGAAAGCTACAGCAACCTGAACTGGAATATGACAGGTGAGCAAAGAGGTAAGATGGATCAAGATGATTTTTCATTGCTGAGTGAGGGGAAAAGCTGATTCTCAGGCTTAGAACATTTGCAAATCATCCAGCTCTAGATCTCGCCCAGATCTTAGCATTGGATTAAGGTTCTTTTCATTAATTAAAAAGAAATATGCTCCTAGCACAGGCAAAAAAAAAAATCTACCCTCCACTCTTGGAGAAACTGAGCTGTTATCTCTAGGGCAGCTTAGCTGATCAGTTAACATTAGGTTTCATTATTTTAGTAGGGGCAGATCTATCTAAGAGAATGTAGTTTTTCCTTTTGGAGTTTCATGATTACCCTAGTGTAAAATCTAGGTAACAAAGTGTTAATTTCAAATAAGCCTTTTGGGGTTTTATTTTGCTCAGTATTTTTATAGTCTTGGCTAAATACAGAAAAACGTTGCTGTGTTTGGTTGCTCCCATCTGCTGGGGACAATACAAGATATATTTAAATACTGAGACAAATCCATCCCCCACCAGGCCCAAATTAACATCCCAAAGTAAGCTCTCTGCTGATTTCCTGGTAGAAGAGCTAAACTCTGGACAGTCCTCCAGAGCTCCTAATGGTTGTCCACCAGCGGACAAAATAAGGCAAGAAAATCCTGACTGATTCCTTAGTGCACCAGTAACAGATACGACTGTTCAGAAAATACTTACAATTTCCAATTCACAGCTTGCCAGCATACCCTGCATTTAAGAATACTCCATGAAGATCTACAATCCATTCTTTTGTTGGGTTTGCATTCAAGTGCTGAAGCATTTCCAGACTATATAGAGATTAAGAGATGGTCTGGGACAAGGTTTTAGAATAAGACTCTGTACAGTAGCAGAGAGGAAAGGATGGAGTCAGAGCACTGCAGGGACCACACTCCTTGATGTAACAGTCAGTCTTAAATAAGTTGCCATGCCTTCCAATTCGAAAGCGAAAATTTCTTAGCAATAGCTTTAGAATGGACAAGTTTGGTCCAAGCACTCTATTTTTTAGGAGAAAAATTGAGGTCAGGAAAGAGAGGGTAGCTATTACACAAACATTGTAAGCCTTCTCTCTCTGCCAACTGAAAGCCAATACTCCATCAATATACATTCTTATTTCAGAGAACCAGATTACAGCACAGATGGATGTGCCAGGTGAGGATGAAAACTGCTCTAGTTGCTTCAACACCACTCACTGACTACAAACCAGCTCTGCTGGTTCCTCCAAGGATCTGCCAGCAGGCAGAAAAGTGGGATTTCTCCTGTCCAGCTCAGCAGAGTTAGCTTCAACTGACCTTGACTGGTGAGGTGTTTCAGGCAGATCACTGCTACTACTTCAACAAACTGGGCAAGGTTTAAAACACAGTTATTTGATCCTTGCTTAAAGCTCTTTAAATGAATCTAGGCAGCATCTCCAAGTAATGCTGCAACTTCTGGAACAAGGCTGAAATTGCTACTGAGGCTTGAAAAGTGGCTTTGTCTTATACCAAACATTTGACAGACATTTACAAAGGTTGTTTTTACAGCCATTATATTTTTCTAGGCTGCTGCATGTTCTGTCTCCTCCTAAACTTCTTTGGATTAAAATAACAGGAGGAGGAAATAATTATTACTCACCTCCTTTTGAAAACGTATCTGTGGCCAAGTTTCTGCATCAAAGTTGTAACCATGTACAAGCAAGTAATAAATGAAACTGGCTGAAAAACAGTAGGATCTCGCATATGTTTCTTCAAATTTAGGCAGCATAAACTGGAGCTGAAAGCAAAAAGTTTTTTTAAAACATGTAAATTATGAAAAAAATGCTTTTGGTTTTTAACTAGAGACTACTTTGGATTCTACTTAGAATTTATTAGCATTTTTCAGAAACAAAACTGTGGACAACTAGATACAGAGGTTTAGAAAAAGACAGACCCTGACAGTGATATAACTTATGTGGTAAAAAATGAAAATAAAAATAAAACTGTAGAGGAAAGATTGATAACGTTATGGTTCCTAAATTTTATATGCTATCTTTACAGCATGGTTAAATCTATGAGATGGAATTTCAAAACCTAGCATGCGAGAAATACTACATGGTTTGAAGCACAGCGTGGAAACAAATGTTGAGGTTGATACAGACTTCTGAAGAGTTCTGAATACTTGCCCAGTCCATGTCCTTTTTATATCTTCCTTTTACAGATACAAAATAAAAAATTAAAAAATAAAACCCAAGCAACCCACTTACCTGTGCCCAGCTCTGTGAACACAAAAACCACATACTTGAATTGAAGTCAGCTAGGGAAAAGTGCCCAGATAAATTCAAAGCATTAATTGTATAGTAGAATCCTGAGAAAGCCTATAGAAAAGGAGTAGATGACAGGCCTGTTACTGTCAGAACTACAGAAATTAAAAGGCAAGAAAACTCAAGAAGAAATGCTGTGTTTGCAAACCTACCACAAAACTGCCTTTAACTTTTGGCTGATGTATTCCATTAAATGGACAGTCTTCTCCATCTCTACAAGCAGTGAAGTTAAACAATAAAGAAACCATCTCCTGGCACAGACCTGGGTCTCCTGTTCCATGGAAGTTCACAAGCTGGTTTGGGTAGTAATTTGCTGGTCTCAGAGACTGTGTACAAAGGCTGCCAGAGAAGTACTTCATCGTTAATGCAGTACTGTAATTCTGAGGGTAACATGGATTACCTACATTGGAACTGGTGTTTGATTTCTGGAAGAAACAAGCAAGCAAACAAAAAAACCCAAACAATAAAAGCTACTCAAACACAAGACAGACCTAATTTGACATTAACTACAGGAATCTTTCTAAACCACATATGCATGTATTTTTGTTCTCTCTCTGTCATGGCTGATCAGTACAACATTGCTGACTGTTGTAACTCATTGGAACCCCTTTCTCAAAAATCACTGGCAAGATCAGCAAAATGCTTACAGAAAGCTGGGCCTTCTTGTCAAATGGTACAAAACTCTCACCAATTTTTAACAAATATGAAGATCTATGTATAAAACCTAAGTGTGTTTGCCCACAACTAAGCACAACAGAGCTCTTATTGGCGTTTTCAAACTCCACCAAAGGGAAGTGAACACAAGCCTAAGAACCTGCTCAGACAATTACTGAACACCTGCAAGAGCAACATAGCAAAGGACCTGAAACGGACCTGGAGCAGCAATGCTAAAAGCCTTTTCTCAGCTTCATCTCTCCCATAGCACTGGAAGCTGTGAGTGTAGACATTGTAGCTGTAACCGTACAACTTCACTTGCAAGGTGCTATTGAAGTTCTCCTGAGGCTCCTCCGAGATAAATGAAATTTGAGTGGAAGCTCCTCCAAGGTCCAGCGCACCCATAGTTTCTTTTCCATAAGGATGGACCCATGTCCTCCAAAGGTTTCTCTGCATGTAAAAATAAAAACAAGGCCAATTAGAAATATAATCTGCTTGGTCTCCCTTCAAGCTTTTAGACTCTTTACATAACTTTTTGAGATTTTCCCCCCCCTGCCCCCAAAAAAATCTTAGCTCCAAGGAAAACATGCAGATGTTTTTTGCATAAGACGGTTGTACTTTTACAAAGTGAAATAATCTTGGAAGATGGAAAATGGAATGCAGTGTAGCTTTCAACTCAGAGGACAGCACAATGATCAAAGCCCAGGACTAGCCAGATCAGTATCTGTATTAGAATGCAGGGAATTGAAGTCCAGATACCCATGAGATCTTGAACAAATCTGGATAGAAATATTGTGGAGATTTGCTTGTTTCAAGGCAAGAAGAATTATTAAAGGAATAGAATATTGAAGAGATCACACAGGAAAGGAGAGTGACAAACACAGAAAAGTCAAATGAAAGCTCCATCAAAATCAGAAGAGCAAGGACCCTATTCTGTACATTTCCTTTGCTGAAACTGCAGTGGCAATAAATTTGATCTATTCAGCTGGCATTTTTCCCTGTTGCCCAAAACATCCCCCAAATTCTGTATTTGATGTACACAGTCACAGTGCAAAATATAGATTTATGACTATCTCGATATTTACTGTAGCATTATTTACTGAGCATGATGATATGAATATATACATAAGAAGGGAAGAGAAACTTTATGGCCGGTAAATACACTCACAAGAAAATTCTACAGTGAAAGATTCCCATTAACAGCCCCTAGAAGAATTTGACTCCTAGTCCATTGTCACAAAAATGGTGAAAATTTCTTTCTCCTACTAGTGATATTCTAACAAGAAGATCTTCACATAACTCTCTATATTAAACTGGCTTCACAGTGTTTTGCAGTCCTTACGAATCTGCCATATAGAATCTGATATTTGGATTATTAAAATTAGCATGTGTGTTGGGTTTGTGTGTGGTGGGTTTTGGTAGCAGGGGAGGGCACTACAGAGGTGGCTCCTGTGAGAAGCTTCTCGAAGCTCCCCCAGCTCCAAGTCAGACCCGTCTCTGGTGAAGGCTGAGCCAATGAGCAATGGTGGTTGTGCCTCTGCGATAACACATTTAAGAAGGAGAACCTGGTAGAAGGAGGGTTGTGAGGGAGATACCTGTGCAGACACTGAGGTCAGTGGAAGAGAGGAGGTGTGCCGGAGCGGAGACCCCCCTCAGCCCATGGTGAGAGGGCAGCCTGTGCCCCTGCAGCCCACGGAGGTCACCGGTGGAGCAGATGCCGACCTGCAGCCCATGGAGGACCCCACGCAAGAGCAGGTGGCTGTGCCCGAAGAAGGCCATAAACCTGAGGGAAGCTCCTACTGTTGGAGTTTGTTGTTGAGAGGATGGCAGCCTGTAGGAGGGACCCATCTTGGAGCAGTTTGTGAAGAGCTGCAGCCCATGGGAAGGACTCATGTCGGAGGAAGTCCATGGAGGACTGTGTCCCGTGAGAGGGACCCCACGCTGCAGCAGGGCAAGAGTGCCAGGAGTCCTCCTTCCAAGGAGGAAGGAGAAGCAGAAACAACGGTGATGAACTGACCACAACCCCCATTCCCTGCCCCCCTGCACCGCTGGGTGGGAGAAGGTAGAGAAATCAGGAGCAAAGCTGAGCCCAGGAAGAAAGGGACGGGTGAGGGGGAAGGTGTTCTTAAGATGTGGTTGTGTTTCACACTGCCCTACTCTGTTTGATTGGTAAATTAATTGGTGGTGGTGGAGTTTAAATTAAATTGATGTTCTTTTTCTTCCCCAATCGAATCTGCCTTTTGCCTGTAACCATAATTGG